CGTTGGCAAACGTTTCGGAAATTTGCGACGAACACGAACTTAGAATTGAATGCACCGCGTTCGTTCTGCTCATGCCTGAAAATGAGAGGCGGGGTCTGAAATGATTGCTCTGCCGTTGTAGTGCCGGATTGATGACGAGAACTGATAACCAGAACCGCCTGGACCATCCATCCTGGTATATGCAGTGCTCTGTGAGAGCTTCGCCAGACACACTCTCTGAGACCTCATTATTATATCGTGATGCTGTGATGTCTTCATTTACCCAATTTGACTACATTGGATATAAAAAAAACTTTCGGAGACTTCCAACTTCGTGCCCAAATTTTCTCTCTTGCTCCGTGTTTAACTGGAGGCTTTCAACAAGTGTTATCGAGGGCCAGATTGGCTCATCAAGATCATCTTCAATTAAAGAAGACATGATAAAAAGCTCAGCTGCAAAGTACAGTAGTTCTACAAAGCAGCGGCAGTCTTCATGTAAATCTTATCTCCTATCTGATTCTTCTCTACTTCATCTTTCGTCGACTCTTTGCGTCGGACATTGAAAAAGCTTTTCGGCATCGAAAGTCGAGCGTTCGTCGGCGGACAAGCAAGTTCATCTTCAAAACTTTTTGATGAACGCGGACGAGCAGGGACTCGGGACGAATTTGAATTGAGCGCCCCTAATGTAGCAGCGAGAAAGGCAGGTGAGCCCATGGGAAGGAACTGAAGGATTGAAATTGTCGCATTTTTGGCATATTTGAAAAAGTATTTTGGTTATGGTAATAGTGGGTTTTGAAGTGATAAGTGGATTATCAAAAACCCTTGCCATATATTCGTTTTACCTTGTCCTCGCATTTCATTTTTTCACTGGATCTCAAGAGTCTAGGTACCAAGCGAATCCCACTGACTTTCCAGCTACCTCCTGATCAATCAGCCGATGATTATTTAGCACACTTAGAGTAATCGACCAGATTTGGTTTCGTTGCATTACAGTTGCATCTGTCGGAAAAGTCTAGGGAAGAAGCTGAGAAGTCGAAGTCGAAGGTCGAAACCGAATCATGCAAAGTCGAATCATGCAGGGATACCCAGACGCATCACATCAATCACCGCCTCCCACTCCCGCCTCTCCCCTTACCCCCACCCGACGTCGACCTCGCAGCCCCGAGATTCTCTTTCGCACTGGCAGTCGCAATTGGCGGCGCAGCGAGCTTCAACGTTGTCCCGACACCACTCCTGCGCGAGGGCGAGGTGCTCCCATCCACCGATGCCGCCGCACTCGCAAGAGATTCGTCCACGGGCTTCATTGCATCCACCTCGCTCTGCGTCAGCGCGCTCTCGCTTATCGTCAGACCACCCACGACTCCTTCCGCCTTCAACTCTTTCCCCTTGCCTTTCCCCTTGGCCCGCTCCCTGCTCGCGCTCAAAGTTCTCACGACCTCCGGGACCATCTGGTTCCCCTTCTTCCCTTCTCCATCCTCCGCGCCCTTTTCACTTACACCTCCAATAATGTGCGCCTCCCGCTCCTCCCACTCGGCCCTCCGGATCACGTCTATCTCACCCTGCACGACGACGCCGTCCAGCCACCGGTGGCACACGAGCTCGGCGGCGCGCGCGCGCTTGTCGGGATGCAGACGGAGCATGGGCGTGAGGAACGCGGCGAACGCGTCGGCTTCGGCAGAGGGGAAGAGGTATTTATCGTGCAAAACGGACTCGAGGGGCCAGTAGCGCAGTTTGGTTATGTGCCGGAGATCGCCTGGGGGAGGAGGGTTAGTTAATAGCACGGAAGAGAAAAGGGAGAGAGAAGCTAGGCGGACGAAGGGAATCGACGGTGATGGGAATCGTAGCGCGACAGGGCCCCAATCCAACATGCTCTCGACTTGGGCACCCACACATCCCCGCGCGCCTCACACCACCCAAAGCCCTGGAACAAAAAAAAACCGAAGCACACGCACCTTTCCTATTAAAAAACTCCCCCGAATACTTCCCAGTAAACGCGATGCTCTTCGGTATCTCGCCCATGAGCTCCATGATCTGTGCAATATGGTCGTCGTCCTTACTGTAGCGCGACCCCGAAGCGGGGTCGAAGAGGTAGTCGCCGCCCGTTATTAGTTCGAATATCTACGTGGGGAGGGGGTAAGCGTGTGTTAGGGAAGGGAGAGGGGGAGGGAGAGGATGAGAGGGAAGAGGGAGGTACGAGGCAAGGTGTGCCAATGTTGAGAGGCGAGCATGAACAGAAAATGGACGAAATTTGAAGAAAGCGATGAAAGACGGGCCGTAAACGGGACAAAGAAAGCTGGATGCGACGGCCATGAGCCACCCCGGAGCATACCAGAGAAGGGTGGAAGAATCCCGAAGATCGGGAATAAATCCTCGAAAAAACTCCCAAAACCGCGAACGAGAAACAAAGCGGAGCCTCCGAAGAACTGGGCATCTCTGCCACGAAAACTTGCAAAGACAGTTTCGAAAACGACTCGCCGCGAAAAATGAAAAGCACCAACACACCTCACGGACGCACGGACCGCAAAGAAACTCGCATCACAACTCAAAGCAAGAGGTCGAAGAAGAAAAGAAAAAAAGAGACCGAAAGAAAGACATGGAAACCAAAAGAATCGGAGAAACCGCTAAAAAGCCAAAGCCAAAGACACCCACCACACAAGCCACGCTCCAAATATCCGCGCTGGGTCCCCACTTGGCGCCGAGGATGACCTCGGGGCAGCGGTACTGCCGCGTCTGTATGTCGTCCGTGAAGTGGTGTTCCGTCCAGGTCGCTGTGGGGGAGGGGGGTTAGCGTGCTCAGGGGAAAAGGGGGGGGGGACGCGTAAAACGAAGACGAAGACGAAGATGGAGGAAAGGAGAGAATAGAAGATGGGATGGTGAGAGAGAATAGAAGAACAACGAAAGGGGAGGAGACTAAAGGGGAGGAGAGAGGACAGGGGAAAGGAGGGTGAGGGGAGGCGAGATAGGGAAGGAATGTAAGTAGGGAAGGACGAATGGAGAAGAGGAAAGTCAGGCGAAGGCAGCGAAACAAAAAGACAAGGCGAAAAGAAAGGCAGTAAAAGCAAAAGAAAAGGAAAGAGCTTACCATTGCCCAAATCGGCGATCTTGACGGTGATCCTCTCCACCTCCGCTTCCTCCTCTCCATGCCCTCCCTCCAAGGCGCCAGTGAGGTACTCGCTGACCGCAGCGTTTACGTCTGCGCCGGGGGTGTCGACGCTCATCTTTCCTACGCCCAAATCGTGCTGCAAAGAAGAGGAAGGGGGAATGGGGATTGGCTTGAGGTTTGACGGTGCCTGTTGACTGAGGAGGGAAGGGGCTTGCTGGGAGAGGAGGGAGGGGGCAGGGGCCTGTTGTGAGAGCAAAGAAGGGCCAGAGGGGGCACGGAGGGCGGGGCGGGAGTCGTTTACTTTGTCTTGGGCTTTTTCGTCCTCTGTGAGGGTTACGTTGCGTACACCGCCTGCGAGTTCATCGGATGTTCCTCGTGGAGCTGGTGCACCCGCGGGGGCAAGCTGAGGCTCGATGCGGCTCATTCCAAACGCCCAGCGATCCATCATGGGGCTGCCGGTGTTGTAGGAGGAGCTGGCGGAGGAGGCGGAAATACGATCTGCAAAGGCGGAGAGGGAGGTCATGCTGGATGGTGACGGGAGTGGCTGGGAGCCGGTGATGAAAACGCTTTCGGAACGCGGTGTCTGATTCCCACCACGACCCTTGCTTGGGGGCACACCTGTGAGTTTGGCACTAGTAGTGGGGTCCTTGGCAGCAGCTGCGGAGGAGAGCAACTCTGATTGAATGATAGCCTCAACGTCGTCGATGGATATGAGAACGTTCTCTGGTTTTAGATCTGTGTGGATGACACCACAGCAACGATGCATATAATCGAGGCCAAGTAGGACTTGCTTCGCGATCTGACGTACCAAGTGCATGGGAACCCCCTTATTCTGGTGGCGCTTGATGAGCCCTAAAAGGTTCTCGCCGAGGACTTCAAATACCATGCAGACGTGGGTTCCATTCGGCCCTTTGTGACGAAAGTGATCCAGGAATGAGATGACGTGCGATCGACCAGGGTGTGTATGTGCAGGAGATCCGCTTGGGTTAGGGTTCGATACAGAGGCGGGCTGCGGCGGCGTCGAAGAGGTTATAAGTCGCTGAAGGAGCTTGATTTCGTCCAGCGCCGTTTCAGTGTATCGAGGTGCAGATTTCACAACTTTAAGCGCGACATGGCGGGACATTCTATAGCAAAAAGCGATTAGATGGCATAAACCAATAACATGGAACTCACTTGGTATCCCTCGCCAACCATACAGTGCTAAAGTGCCCCCAGCCCAACTTCCGAACGACGATATACCGTCCGTCTGAAAAGGTGTCACCGAGCTTGACCGGGTGATAGCCACCTTTGACGTAGTCCTCCCAGTCCTCTTCATCTTCCGTCATCGAATGGGAGAGCTGAGATTCGGAGGAGCCAGAGTACGACCCGTGGGACATCGCGTTGTTATCTATCTATGTATTACGGATACGGGTAGGCGCAGGCGAAGAAGGAACAGCGAAGAGATAAGGCTATGATTATGATTATGATTATAGTCGTGATAAGCCCCGCGGGGTCACTAAACTGATCATTCAACGGTTAAAAGTCCGCTCTTTTCTATTGGTTCATCCCCGGATCAACTTGGGCACCCGCATCCGTCCCCCGTATCAACATCGGAATTAGACGCGTCAACAATTCCTCCCCATGACGCGATCCATTTTAATTCAATGCTCGATTCTAATTTCTCAATCCTCTCTATCTAATCTATACACATATCTACCGGATCTTCATCTCGTCATCTTTCCATCGTCGCGATCACCGGCTCCTTCGGAGATCAACTCATATCCACTATTTTATGCAACCGACTCCACTGCTCGAGATGTCGTCTATATTGCATTGCATCGTGTCTTGCAACAAACACAAACTTCATGCGCCGCAAAAGTACAAGAACGTGCCGCAAAACGGCAGAGACCTCTCCCGCCTGACCAGTCCAACATCAACTGGCCGTGTGGCGAAATGGCATCGCGTCTGACTACGATATGGTTAATCAGGAGATTGCAGGTTCGACCCCTGTCTCGGTCACTTAATAATCAAGTCCAAGCATTTCTTTTTACTTTTTTCCAGTGGTGCATTGCTACTGGTGTGGCGTACCGACCCGAATGTGAACCTTTTGAATTTGACCCCAACTACCCAGCCCAAAATTGCTTCGTGAGGAACAGTGCGTTGTCTGTTGAACGTCTGCCCTCTGCAACAATCACAAATGGTAGTAGGCAGCCACATGCAAATATTTTTTTTGAGAGAGCAAAAGATACAGTACAAAGTAAGGGAGTAGAAAGAAAAATAAATAGGGAGTGGTGGGTGGGTCACAAAATAATAGTAGTACAATCTCGCTAGCTTCTATCATAGTAACCGCTGCAAGTCAATGTGGCAAGATAGAGAAGAATCTTACAATAGTGAAGATTAATGATATGAGGTAAGAACTCTGTACAAAAGTTAGAATGCAAGTGAGAATGTGAGACACGACTGTCTCACTGTGGGATGGTAGTGCCTTTTTGCCAGAGATAACGCTCACCTGAGGTTACACGGTGGTGATAGATAACGGGAGAGGTGCAATTCGGATAGGTAACACCAGGCGCCTGTGAGTCGAGCTCGCACAGTGGGCGATGAGGGAGGCTTCCTATGGAGTCTCCGAAAACACTCCCTACCCTTGGAATTTTGCGCCGACTTCAAGCAACGCGGGGGCGTGTGAGGAGATCTAGCGACGTCATCCAAATCACTGGCCGTGTGGCGAAATGGCATCGCGTCTGACTACGATGGGATATCAGGAGATTGCAGGTTCGACCCCTGTCTCGGTCATTTGGGCTCACAAATTCATTGGTTGTCACCTTTTTCAACACCGAATTTATCAACAAGATTCAGGCGAAGCTCCAAGTACTGGTTACATTCATTGTGACATGTAATTTTAAATTCAATGTATGATTGGTGGTGGTGGTAATACAGATGATGCTACATACACGTACACATGCGCGAGAAGATCCAAGAAAATAAGCGTGTCTCGGCTCCTGTTTTTGGCGAAAGCGAAAACCAACAGTTTTGCAGTTTGAGAAATCAGAGCAGCGGCTCCCGGCTGCTAGAGAGGCGGTTGAGATGGATGTAGACGTCTGTCCCGAAGCCGTCCATCGCGATGAGGCGGAGGTCTCCACCAAAGTATCTTGCGTACTGTGTGATACATCAGCACACCGTCACCTCCCCAACACTCCCTTCCACTTACCAATCTGGACAACGGCAGCCCATACCCAAAGCCCGCCATGGGCGCCTTGAAATCGCTCGCCTGAAAGTCCTGATCAATCCCCTGCCCCTCCATTGTCGTATACATATACGTCCAAATGAGCGGGACCGCACTCCTACTTATACCCCCGCCCTCGTCAGAGATCTTGATTGTGATGTCCTCCTTCCCTTCCACAACCACGACCTTGATCGCGGGATACACCGTATCGTCGTCCAGTCCGTACCGCTCGACGACCGCGCGTAGCGAGTTCTTGAGCAGCTCGAAACAGATGTGCGACAGGTGCCCCGGGACGTAGGCGAAGGTCAGGTGCGAGGGGCAGATTAGTTGGACTGGGGGTCCCCGGAACATGGCATAGTGCTCTTCGCAGACAAACCGGGCGTTTTCGATAGCTTCGTGTACAATGTCGTGGACGTTCTAGGGGGTGCGTTAGTGGGTCCGAGAGACAGAGAAGATGAAGAGTAGAGAGGTGCGACCCCGGAAAAGGGGCGGTATAGGAAAGCGTCAGGGAAACGAGTATATATAGGGAAGAATGCCGAAGGGTACGGAATACGTAAATGTTGAAATAGGAAAGGGACAGGAACGGAGGGGGATGACGTACGGCTTTGGTACAGATAATCCCTACGTAGTCTTCATGTGCCTGCTGCGTGTTCAGAGCAATGTCTAGAGATGCCTCGTGAGCAAAGTAAATGAAGCGTGATTTCGAAACATACGTTGTCCAATCAAGAACCGTATGCCAATACGCGACATATAAAATCGATCTAGCCAGGCCTGAATGTCGAGCCCGATATTCCTTGCGTTCTGCATCCTCTTCCACTCGAGGACACCCTGAGCGACGGTGGTAACCGTCGGGTCGTGGCGACTCTTGATGGTCTCGAGGACCTTGGTGAAACGCTTGTTATAGTCCTGGACCTGGGGAGGCCAGCGCACGACGGAATCGGTGTCGGCGTAGTACCTACGGAGGTGGACGGGAGGCGGGCGGTTGGCGATCGGATGCGAGCCGCCGACGAACGAGGAACGGGAGCGGACTGACCTGCGTTCCATGGGCACGCGCAGTTTTAGCTTGTTGAAGCCATTGACGATTGATGAGGGAGATGCGGAGGAGGTGCCGTACATGTGGGAGAAGGAGGAGTGTGCGTCGGTATCGGGGTCGAGGTGCCGCAGGGAAGGATTGGGGGTTGACTCTGGTAGAGGGCTGTCGGTGGGCAGCGTCATTAGGGCCTGCCGCACATCTGGCGGAAGAACGACGGGAGGAAAGTTGATCAGTTCCTGATTTTCGTTGCTTAGTTTCAGTCGGGATCGTAATGAAGATATCTGGAACATTACCTCGAAGGATTGGGCGTACCAGTTCTGCACCTTTTTTATTGAAGGCGTCTCCCCGAGTCCATGCGGCAGCTCAGAAAGCTCCTTTACCCGATGCGCGAGACGAACGGGCAACTCCTCTGCAAACTCCGTAAGCTCAGTATTCGGCTCCCCTACGATTGCGCCTACCTGCAAGAAATTGGCTGGCTTTCAACAATGTTCCCTGGCTGGGATTCTGTCCAAAAAGAACCATCTGCTGTAGAGATACTGTTATGAAATACGATGAGGGGACATTGCACGAGACCACGACGAATGATTACTGACCGCCAGTCTGGGGAAATGAGGCAAAGTGGTGGATCTTGTCCCAGAGGGCCGAGGAGATGCGAAACCCGGCAGACATGGTTATGAAATGAAATGAAATGAAAGGAGCGAGAAAGAAAGTTAAGCTAGCGAGTCTGGACCATGTAGCAGTTACCAACACAATCTTGACTCGACCCCACATTCACATGCTAGTCACGTGGTCAGCCGACAAACGCCGATCCACCCGGTCTTTTCATAGGCGCCTGATTCCTGATCTCGATGCAGGTGATTTACATTAGGGCTGAGTATAACCAATTCAACAGAGAGACGATTGTTGCGTCACTTTCCATAACAACTCCACAATATTTTCCGCCAACGTTTGCCGTGGGCGTCCCTTTAAGCTCTAAAAAATTGATCTAGATCAACGTTTGTCCAGTGGCTTAGGGTACTCGATCCACAAATACCGTAACAGCAGCAACGAGTAGATAACCAGACTACACCACGAAAAGAAATGACTCAAGTTCCTTGCTTAAACCAAGCGACCCCCCTAAAGTACATTTCTAGGAACAGTATCACTTGTTACTGAACCCTGAATATGTTGCGTCTTCCATTTGTCCAACTTATTCATCTTGTCACTCAACTTGAAGCGCTCTCACTCATATCGTAACGAAAGAGGTCACAAGACGGTGCCCCTGGAGACGCCGCGATTCCTTGGCTGTTTTTAAAAGCCGCGACGACTTGAGAGAGTGTATGTATAACCCATTTTCTACTGGTTGTCTAGAGTTATGGATATGCCCGGAATCGTGGTCACGTGCGCCCCAACGCGCGAATCTCCGTCTAACAAATAGAACACTTCACCTTACAAGGTATGACAACCTGTGTGTGTTGATGGGAATGCTGCTGCCGCCACATACTTGCGGATTCTGGAGAAACTTTGTCTCATGATGGTATATTATTTTCACCCTCGCATGTGTCTCATTGGGTAATTTCGTACTCTAACTTTGAAAGAGAGTCACACAGTTAGGCTTCCTGGCATTTCCGCCAGCGCACTTAAGAAACTCAGCGCCATTGAATCCTCTGCACTTCATTCCCTGTACGGAAGCTGAGGGACGCGACGTTTTCAATCTTCCAGCTATCCCGCTTCGCCCGTCATAGCGTCTCAGCTCAGGCCGATCGCTGTGTGGCGTTTACGAGCTACTGCTGGCGGAGCCCCCTTTTGAGTACAGCGTTGGCACGAGGGAAGGTAGGCATTGAGTGATAGCTATAACCAGGCGAGGTTGGTGGAGATCTACTGTCTAAAGTGCACATATACGTTAGCAGCGGAAGATAGTTTTTAGGGACACGGAAACGTACCTGTTCTCCAAAGTGACGTCGGTTAGATTGATTCTGCATGTCAAAGACCCAGGCAATGTTTTGCCTGTCCACATGAGCACTGAAGGGGTGCGGCATACTTGTTTCCGTTTCGCTTCTTTTCTTGTCTGAGGTTTCAGGATAACATCCAACGGCCAATTATCCTCATGTTCTGACAGAACTTGATTCAACAGACTTACTACGAAGGTCACAGAAACTAGGAAGACTTGACGCTTTGGAGAGAAAAGTAAGTACCGTAATACCAGCGCCAAGATGCGCATCAAGAACGACAGCAATAGTTGAGCAATGGTAATTGGAGTGTCGGCAGGGTCCCTGAGAAGGTTTTAAGCGGAGAAGCCAGAAAAAGGGGCAACCAGAAAAAGCAGTGGGAGCCGAGCAGTGGGGCAGTGGCGGCAGTGATGAGCAGTGGG